GTGTAGCAAATTTTTATGAACGTGATTTCACTGCACAGCTTTTCATGAGTTTTTTGATCTTTCATCAATGATGTAATCACTTTTTTTGACGAACATTGAAAAAACAGGTTTACGCTTCATGTGGGATAACTTAGAAAATAAGCATTATGTATAGCGCGAATAGCACATTCAAAATCAGCGACTTTGAGCCTAGTATAAGAAGTCTTAGCTTGTTCCGTATCCCTACAGTGGAAAGCGAGAGCTGAATTGCTGGTCGAATTTGAATTGAGGCCAGCTCTACAAAATTGTACCCAAAGTTCGGCAAAAGACATTAGCTTTAGAGACACGATATTTTTTTGGAACACTCTGTACAGTCGCCTCATAACATTCTGTATTGAACGCGAGGAAGAGATTTTTTCCCTAGAAAACTTTCATTTTCCTCTTTTGCTGTCTTGCTCATTTCCAACTGCAAATGCGTTGAAATGCATTGGTTATCGCTGCGTTCGCTTACCTCAGCGAAGGCATAAGTTATAAGAAAATGTGGGGTATTTGTCATCTAAATCATTCTGCTACGTAGCATTTATGGTGTAGACAGCACGAATTACAGTGACAGAGAGAAAAGAATATGTCCCTTGTCATGTCATGCTTTCTGGTTTATGCTGGACTTTCTCTTGGTTATTGGTTCTTCTTGTTACTACAATTTAGTTTTTTCAGCCTGTAATTATCTCGTTCCAAACAATGGGAGTATTTTCATTCAGCATTTGCGTTGGTTGTCCGCAGTAGCTTCATTCTCAGGATATCGAGCAATCCAGCTCTGTTTGTTTAGAGCCGAGGTGCAAATGAATTAATTTAGCGATGAGTCGATCCCGTAATTTGCCACTGCCTCAAAAAAACTCAAAAAAGCGCTGTTCACGTGGGCTCATCTCCCTGACGTCGGGATTCACAAAATTTCACAGAACCCCGTCCCAACTGATCTGGGCCCAACGGAGGCGTTCGATGATCAAGCGTACATTTTGAGCGGCTCGAATTTCGCATCCTTCGAGCCGTCCGAATCGATGTGACTTTGCCTCGCTGAGCCACGCCCCTGGCGCAGAAGTTCAGCTCTATTCGCACACACTGGAAGAGCAGCACCGTTTTTGAGCTTGCGTCCACTTTCAGATTGTGAAAGGAGCAGGTTTTGAGCGTCTAGCACATTTTCTCCACTTTGAATTGCGAGGTCAAGCACGCGAAGGTAGTAGTAGTTACCACTTTGAGCTAGAAGTTAGCCACCACTTCAAAGTGTAGTGGTACCACTTGTAACGTAGTAGCAACCACTTTGAGGTGGCTAGTAGAAGCCACTTTAAGATAGTGTAGTAGTCCCTACTATTAAGTGTAGTACCCACAACTTTGAGGTAGTGCAGTAGCTATCACTTTTTGGCTTATCGCCAGCACCTCGACGTACTGTAATGAATCTTTGGACTTTCAAAGACTCTTCTGAACTTCTAAACAAACAACTTTGGCCGAAAAAAAGCTAGAGCGTTTGCCGCGACTTCAATCGCGCATAATTCGCTTCATTGCGCGCAAATTGCTGTCGACCTCGATGTAAGTCACAATTGCTCCAACAAAGTCCTAATAGAGCCATGCTTCAGAACCTGCGAGCGAGCTCTGAGGCTCGACGAGAGCTCGACTGCTTCTTGGATCGGAATGACGTCGATCTAGAGCCTCGGACCCCATATTCTGGTCATGCACTGTCGATCTATAGGGCTGTGGCTGGCCCTGATCGTCTGTTGTGTGTTGTGCATTTGCGGTGTTGGAGCGAAAAGGAAGCTCAAGGAGCAGGATATCATCCAGCGTATTTTGAACAACTACGATTGGAGAGTCAGACCTCGGGGTCTTAACGCTTCTTGGCCAGGTGAGGTTTTCTTAGTATATCAATTTTGCAGCCATCTTCTATCGTACTCTACAATGCGAAAAAAATCTTAAGAGAAGAAGAAGGCAGAACATGCTAAGAAATAGCCTCTGCAGCAAATCCTTCTAGAGAATTATTATTTTGTGAGAAAATCCAGTCGAGCTCGAACAAAAAACATTTTTTATTATAATTTCAACTCTAACGGAAATCTAAAGAAAAACGAGCATATTTGTAATAAGAAAAAGGGAAAAATCGTTGTATAAAAACTATTTTTGCAGCTACTTTTTAAGTGAATTTTCTCCAATAAAATGGAAAATATCTATGAAATGACATCTATCTTTACTTACTGTTGTGCTCTGAAATTATCCCTCAGTCGTCTTATATCAGTTCAGTTTTTTGTAAAATTTCTGTCACAAAGTCTTTCCATCCCCCTCATTCCTCCACAA